AAATTAATCGTGTTATTTAATCATAACACTTCTAAGTATAAAATAGTTCTATTCAGTACACCTGCATAGGTACTGAAATTTCTTCAACTCCGTTCGTCAAACTACTATCATTTAATTAAACTAACAAAAACAGATGGTAAAAAATGTTTACTAAAAATACGTACATGTATAATATTACTATATATTGTTTTAATTCGTAATGTGACGAATTTCGACAAATTTACAGGCAATAAATCATACGACTATAAAACACGTTTAAATACTCGATATATTGGACGTGTTAAATATTTAAGAGTTATGGCTGAAAGCCATAAACAAATAACTAATAAAGCACATTGGCACTATACCTATATATATTATCATATATGTATATAATATACGATGATGATAATCATATTACTACAATACCTAATATTCGATATTCAACGTACTAAGTTTCGTAGTTTTTTACAAAATCTCATGACACTATATTGTTTGTTTTCTAGAGATGATTTACAGTTAAAAAAAACTATTTTCAATCATAATATTCAGCTCTTGACAGTGAATTCACAAATTTCAAATAAAATTTTTTTGGTAAAAAATATTGTCACATAATATTAGACCAGACACGAGATATTAAGCTATATTATTGCTTGTCGGAAAAAATACCCTAAAAACGTAAGTACCATACTTGGATATAGTCGGATACAAATGTCCAATAACAAACCTTTTTTCTGTAAACATATTATGAAAGTACCTGAACCTACTACCTTGGACAAAAATCAACTGTAGCGTCGAGATTGGCAAAATGTACCTACCTATTAATATTTCTATTATCTATATTATATATTTAGACTATTGTCTTCACCACGGTTATCTATAATACGTATATATCTATAAAATACCTACCATAACCTATATAGTATATTGTATATACTGTATAGTTATGAAAATATTATAAAAGTAACCTTGTACTAAAAAGACTTAAAAGCCAAAACTACAAATTCTGCCATTAAAAGAAAACTAACATTGTTGTAGGATTCTTAAATTTCACAGCAATTTAAATTTTAAAAGTTAATAAATAAACATTGTTATTGGTCAATTGGTATTCGGCTTATTATTTTGAATTCGCCAATATATTATACGCCATAAGCGCACCTAAAACGTAATATAATTGCATAATTTATTCGGTTCCCAATGTTAATTTATACGATTTTACAACAATGTTTATGATAGAAAGAACGAATTTTAATTTTATCATCCTTCACATCATTAAACAGCGTTAATCTTTTCTAAGAAATATAATATGCAAAATTAAAATATCTGTCCAGTTATAATTAACTCTGATATTGCGTACCATAACAATTATAAAAAAAAAAATGGTATTCGTTTAGTATGTGACCTACAGAGTGAAAATCGAGTTTAGTATGTGACCTACCAAGACGATTATCTATATTATGTAACGGGTACTGAATCTATTAACAGGTAAGATGAATTAAATATTTCCGTTTTTATAAAACATTTAATAATTATGAAAGTTACATACTATTGGTATGGTACTGTCTTCATTCTTTTTAACAGAAGTTAATGATAGTATTTTATATTTTATATGTATTAATATTAGTGTATGAATATTGGTTGTATTTTAAAACTTTTTTTTATACCAAATAATTTTATGAAAATTTTGAATAATTAGAAACAAATATAGTATAAATGGGTGGTTTCTTCCCTCAAAAAAAAAAAATCATACCCTATGCACATTTGCTTATTGTTCTAGTTAAGAACAGATTGTAAATTTCATGTAAAAATAAAAAAAAAAAAATGTAATAAACATTTATTTAATAAATAATAAATAAAAATGATTATAAATTTACTACCTATGTGTCTATATTACAATAATTAGAAACCCACTTTAAAAACCAAAAGTTTTTTAAAAGTATTCCAAAAGTATTCCAAATACTTTTTCAAAGTATTTGAGTAGTATTTGAAATACTATACAATTAAAGTATTTGAGTAGTATCTTAAATACTTAAAAAAAATGTATTTGTGTACTTACTCAAGTATTTTTCAAAAGTATTCTTTACAGGACTGAATATAGCACATATCGCCAATTTAATATATCTATGTCAAATAATAAATGCACAGTGCTCACCGCTTTCGAAGATGAACAAAGTCCGAGTGTGAATAATTTTCCCAATTGTTCGTTTAAAATATTATGACCTTATATAAAGTACCCAGATTGATGTTTGTACTACAAAACATATTGGGAAAAAATTAAATAAAACTTTGTCTTGAATCTTGATTCAGCGTCAATATCCTAAATGGACATTGGAATAGTATTGGAAAGTTGATAGTTTTTTGCATCAAGCGTAGGGGCGGATCTTCGATATTTTGATAGGGGGCACTTATAAATTGTATAATTTTAATTTTAATTAATAATACGTACATATTGCACACTATTATTTTTAAACAATAATGATTATAATAAATAATAGTTAATATAGTTGGTAGTATTATTCTTATTAAATTAATTTTTCATTTAGGTATATGATATACTCGTAGTTACATAAAAATATTGTCGATAGAAAATTGACAGGGGGGGGCACGTGCCCGAATCCAACACTGATCAAGCGTGTATACAAAGTATATAATTTACTCATATACTTTAGAGTGTGTAGGTATAGTATAGGTACCTACGCAGGCCAACAATATATGATGTATTATGGGCAGTGCACATGGGCACATTATTAACCGTCACATTGCATAATTACAATAAGTCGCATGGTTCAAGACCGTATCATTTTCCTGACAACTTTCATTTTCACGAAAAGTATAAATTAGTATATATATATATATATATATATAATATAGAGATACGTGAATGACTCCGTGTTTCAATTCCTATTTCTTATTTAAATTATTCAGTTAATATAATATTTGTTTTGACATTTTATAAAATGTATATACATTATACATACAATCATATACGTAAACTAGTACTTGTTTTATATGTGTATTAAGTAATATAACATACTTATTTTTTTTACTTCCATTTATATAATATTAATTTATTCTAGTTACAAGAAATATACTATAGTACAAATATAGCAAAATATTACTATAATTGCTCTAAATTAAGGTAAAAACCCTATAATTTGTCAACTAGGTACATACATTTTAGATATTTTGTTTTTACCAGAATTTGTTTCGGAGGACAGAAAAAATAAACAATAATAATTAGTATCGTGTAAATGTTATAGTTAAAGTTCCAAAAATTCGAACGGTGCGGATCGAACATATAGTTGTAAGCAATAAGTAATAACTAATAAGTATCAACTTAGGTAGGTAATCAAAAAATGTAATGTAACTCAGTGAATATTTTTTAATCAGAAATGTCAAATGTCTATATTAGCTTCAAAAATAGTCAACATATTTTTAAAATTTTACCTGCATGGAGGATGTAAAAATGTAAAATTATATTATGAATATTATTATATTTTATTATATATTATTATATATTGAAAAATTCAAGTATCTGAGGTCATTTTTGAGTTTAACCGAAAAAAAACAAGATTTGGTGGAAAACTGGTTTTGAGTAAAAATTCCAGATTTTCCTTAATTTTTTCCTATTTTTCCAGTATATTTTGAAAAATACTGTGAATGTTTTACTTTTGATATCCCTAAGTATAAAATCGAATTTGCTTCCAGAAATCACTCTCAAAGTTGTTAATCTTAGCACTGTTTCTACTAGAAAAAGTCTCTTCAGACACAAAAACACACACTTCGTTGTGAAATCAATATTTCATCGCTCCGTTCAGAATATAAAATTAAATTAGGTGGAAAATAAATTTACATAATATCGGGTTTCACGCGGTTCGGGCACAGAATAAAATTTAGTCTGTGGTTTGGGTTTCTCGTCGAACGAGGACAGTGCGCATCGGCTGTTTTGTACACTCACGTCATATTCATACAATCATACCTACCACCAGGTAATCCATTTAACGTAAAACACTATAACATTCATTGTTTCAAAAACTATTAATGATTTTTGGAATCATGTCGGTCCACTACTCCGCTCATATTTGTTTTAAATATTTATAACTACTGATCCGAAATTTTATTTTCATAGACCAAAACTAAAAAATTAAAAATTAATTTTTTTTCAAAAATGTTGTTGCAACGACTCAAATTAGGTAAACAAAAAATTTACAAAAATGTTAATAGTTATTGAAATAACGAGTGTTCTTCGATAAAATCCTCATTCGGATTAAGATAATAACAATAATGCTACATAGTAATATTTACTATAATTATACAATCAAAATATAATACTGTGAGCACCGACGATGTAGCAATAATAATAATAATAATAATAATAATAATAAAAATAATAGTACACCTGACGACGGGTTTCGAGTGGACGGGCGGCGGCGGCGGGATTGGGAAACACCAAACGCGAAAAAGATGTCTTAATTCAAAACTGGGCTACGAGGATAACGACACTTTGGTAGAAATGCGACGGGCGAGCGCGCGACACGCGCGGCTGGCCGCGTGACGTCATCGCTCGTCGCGCCGACCGGTTACTCTGGCGGGCGGATGGTATGTCGTGACGTCACATAACCGGCGCCGTCGTTCGATGACGGCGGTTCGCGTTACCTACTGCCCGCCGACCAACGGCGCCGCCGCCACCGCTCCTCCAGTCGACCATGGCCGGTCAGCCGTCGACCGCCGCCGCCGCCCGCCCGTCGACCAGTGTTGTTGTTGTTTTCATCGCCGCCGTACGTACTACTCTGCGCGGTGCGGTCCGTGTGTGGTGTGTTTATCGTAACGATTGACGGCCGCCGTCGTTACAATAATAATTATATCTTCGTCACCGGGTCAGGAGAAAGACGGTTTATGATGTAGATCACTCGAGTACGAATCGCGTCGTTTCTCCCCATTCGAATCGTGAGAGCGAGCTGCTCGCCCGCCCTCGCCCCATTGACGTTCCATCATTAGTATTCGTGCCTAGGGGTTGTACGATGTCGAATTTCTACAATAAAGTGAGCTTAGCTTACACCAAACCCATGAACAAACGCATGACCTTGCAAGAGATATCCCAAGCGAACCAGTGGATTAATGGTGAGATTAATGGTAATGATCGACAACGATAACGGCTAATAAAATATTATAATGTATAGGTAGGTAGTGTGTATGTTGTATTGAATGAACGCTGTACTCTGGTCCATTCAGTGCTTTCCCCATGTCCGACTCTGACCGTTTACGGTCTCCTCTGTGGCTGTTAAAAACGACCACTGTCTGTACAATATTATATTGTTGTATTCCTTGTTGCAGATACGCTGAGCGTCAACTCGTATGGAATGCCTCAGTCTGGTTCCACTGTGTCCCAGAGAGAGAATTCCAGCTTCTTGCCTGTCACTCAGCCGGCCAGTGCTCCAACATCGCCAGTCGGTTCTCCAGTCTCTCAGCTGTTATCTGATCTCTCCAACATCACTCTAGATCCCAACTGGCAGGCCATCAAGTCTACTGTACGTGAACGTAATGCTGCCATGTTCAATAACGACCTCATGGCTGATATATACTTTGTCGTGGGCAATCCAGGTTAGCGTCTTATCGACGGAATACTTTCAAATAACACTGTTATACGTCTATTATTGTAATCGTTTCAGGACACACCCAACGTATACCATCACATAAGTACATTTTAGCAACTGGAAGTTCTGTTTTCTATGCCATGTTCTATGGTGGATTAGCGGACACTAAAGAAGAAATTGAGGTGCCTGACGTTGAGCCAACAGCTTTTCTCACTTTACTAAGGTTTGTTCTACTATTCTTAACTCTCACTATTTGTTTGTATTGTTATTCTAAAACTGTTTGTTATTTTTGTTTATCTAGGTATTTATATTGTGATGAAATCCAATTGGAGCCAGACACAGTGCTAGCTACATTGTATGTGGCCAAAAAATATATCGTACCACATTTAGCCAGGGCTTGCGTTAATTACTTGGAGACGAGCCTAACTGCAAAAAACGCGTGCCTGCTCCTCAGCCAATCTCGGTTATTCGAGGAGCCAGAATTGATGCAGAGATGTTGGGAAGTGATTGATGCACAAGTAAGTGTTTTTTTTTCACCAACCAATTTTTCAATATTAAATTATAATATTATCCTTTTTATTTTTGTAATACAGGCAGAAATTGCATTACATTCAGATGGATTTGTTGACATAGATGCTGATACGTTGCAGAGTGTATTAGGCCGTGAAACCATCAATTGCAAAGAAACCATACTATGGGAAGCAGCCATGAATTGGGCCTCGGCTGAATGTAGCAGACGTGAAATAGAACCAACTCCATCTAATAAACGACAAGTATTAGATTCTGCTCTGTATTTACTCCGGTTGCCAGCAATGTCCCTAGAAGAATTCGCTAACGGACCTGCTCAAATGGGCATGTTAACATTAGAAGAAACTGTCGATTTATTTCTCCACTACACTGCATCCAACAAACCTCGCTTGACTTATCCAACTAAGCCACGTATAGGACTAAAACCTCAGACGTGCCATCGATTTCAGTCCTGTGCTTATCGTAGCAATCAGTGGCGGTATCGAGGTCGTTGCGATAGCATTCAGTTTAGTGTTGATCGTCGTGTGTTCATAGTAGGTTTCGGTTTGTATGGTTCGTCAACTGGGGCATCCGATTATACTGTTAAAATTGAACTCAAACGTCTAGGCCGTATTTTAGCTGAAAACAACACAAAATTCTTTTCAGATGGTTCAAGTAACACTTTTCATGTTTATTTTGCACATCCTGTACAAGTAGACCCCGAATTGTTTTATACTGCTTCAGCTATATTAGATGGTGCAGAATTAAGTTATTTTGGCCAAGAAGGACTTAGTGAAATAAATGCTGGTTGTGTGACGTTTCAATTCCAATGTTCTTCGGAAAGTACTAATGGTACTGGAGTTCAAGGGGGGCAAATTCCAGAACTTATATTTTATGGTCCAGTTAGTGAAAACCATTAATACATTTTTAAATCATTTCCAATCCGAATTAAATACCCAAGTATATAAAACTATTAAATTCAATTGAAAATATTTTGATGAAAAAATGTTGCTCTATTATGATATTTTGGATCTCTATTATACCCAATCACTAAACCACATCTCATATTATGATAACTCAACTAAATCTTTAGAGTATGATTACACATTCTCGCCAAGTAAATTATGTGTATTTTTAGATGTAATGTAATATAATAATTAATATGTATGTTATATTTTTTTCTATGTTGGTAATTAGAAAGGTATTTGGTCAAAATATCCAAACTAAAATATTTTTTTTCGTTTTTGTTTTATAAGTTAATTATGATATAATAAAATCTCTCACCAAACTCGACTCACAGTGTATACTATGCATTATGTATATAATAGTACTAGTCCAGGGCTTGGAACTTTATGCAATCCTTATTTATAATATATTAGTATATTTAAAATCTAGTTCGATACAAATGTGTTTGTATTGCTAGTCAAAGCCCTATCATTACATTATATTAAAACCACCTGGAACATCCCAGTTAATAATATATTATTTAAAATGTTATGTTTCATTAATACTTCTGCTAGCCACTATTTTTGCTTCATCACATGTTTCAATTTTATTAGAAAAGTCTAATCTACATTGACTAAAGAGACATTTCAAAATGTCTGTTTCTCATTTGAATTATTGTTTATATACTATTCAAATTAAATTATACTTAAAGGATTTTTATTTTTTTTTTATTTAGTTATTTTGGTTTGGATATTTTGACCTATACTCTATGGCAATAGAAAATAATGAATTCAGCCACTTGATTTTTTCGTGGCTATGTGCACCAACAACCTGTATTAATGGGTGGTTCACAATTTCGATAATAGTTAAAGTTTGTTGGTGGTCTTTGGGAAACAATGGTTAGTAAGGGTGGGCCATTTGACCTCGGCACTGCCCCAGCCATCAGCCGTTATTCTCTTTTGAAATAGAGTATAGAATTATGAACTGATATTATTTGTTAAATCTAAATTTTTTATGACAGAACAGACATGCTTGACTTATTAGATATTATTATTTTTATTTTATAACATTGTTAAGACTAATGATTAAAATAGGGCATATCTTCTAAATTGTTTACCAACTGTATTAACTTACATGTTTTAAATTCCTTGCTTTATTTTCTTTTTTCTATTTTGTGTTATATTAAATGACGGAAGTGTTATGTTTAACATATTATTATGAATTGAGATCAAACAAATTACTATTTGATCAAATTTTACTAACATAACTTTGTCGCCTTATCTTGTATTATTTTAAATATATTCTTAATACGCTCAATATGTTTCTGCATATAATTATTGTTTAATAATAAATATATTTTATAGGTTAAATTGATTAAATATATTAAATCAATGGTACATATATTATATACCATACTTCAGTATGGGATTCTTTCTTTTTTTTTGTTAGTGTGTTACTAATAGTTGATTGATAATTGATTACACAAAATGATAATTATTTTCTCTATACATAACTTTTTGGACGTAAACTACTTAATAATTTAAAATTTTATTATAGTAATCTCGTAACTACTTCAAACTTGGTACTAGGTTACCATTAATTGACTGTATTTTGAGCTTTAGCAATGATATTAAAATAGTATTATGATTGTTTAAGTTAATATGCAACTTTCTCATGTAATTTAATGATTTTTATTCTTATAACTTTTTTTTGATGCAACATATTTTGGAACAAATTTGTATTTTCTCAATTTATTCTAGCGTTTTTCACCAAAACCAATTTTCTTTAAGAATCACTTAAAAAGAAAAAAAATTATTGTATAGTTATATAACTTTATTTTTAAGTTAAAAATTATAAATGTACTTATATATTATCTTCCTTGAACACCAATTGATCATTTTGATTAGTATTTAATTTCCACAGCTAATAAGTTTTTTTTTATGTTAACTTGTTTAGGCATTTCTAGTATATTTTTAGCAAATATTTTTTTGGTAGGCTGTGATAGGGGTCATTTTTATTTTGTGTATTTCACATTTTTAAATAAAACAAATTTTGTAAACATATTTCCTGTTGTGTATTTATTCATATAATCGTGTACCTACATTGTATAATATATTTGGCCACTTTGTGAACTAATAATTTTTGTGAAATGAAAAACTATAATCGTACAATACACAAATATTTCTAAAAAAAAAGCGGTGATCTCACTCTATTGTATTTAGTAGGTTTGGAGTATAGGTCATTGAGTAGATTGCTGTTATCATATAATACTGTACCATATACCCCCCCTGTAATTTCTTAAAAAAAATGATTTTAACCAAGTCTTACATTTTTCTTTTATACCTACCAATTGGCAATTGTTATAAGCACAACCTCCCACATGCCAAAAAAAAAAGAATTCCTGAGTGCGCTTCTGCTGTAATGAATGTGTTAAATTATAATTCATTGATAAATCATTCTATTTAGACATGTAACTGGCAGATGCAAATGTCGAATTACAGTAAATATTTTGTAACTAGTGACAACTAATTGAGTAACTTCCTCATCAATAACTGTAGAGGAGATACCCTTTATGGCTTTATCAGAAGT